TTTCATATCACTCTAATAGTTTTTTCGTCATCTATTCGAGTGATATGAAATAAAAATTAATAATTTAGAGTATAATGTGAGAAATTTTATAATTGAGAGTATAAAATAAAATAAATATAATAGTTTAGGGGGGTAAAGTATAATTTACTCTAAGTTTTTTTTTTGAAGAAAGTCGTGCGGATTGAAACGGTGCCGTATAAATTGGGCGGTAAAAGACGCGCCTCTTTTGAGGCCACCTTGCCTGACCCTTTGCAATATAAAAGGCAGAGCTTCTGGTTCAAAATTCAGAGCACACCTCTCAACTCTCAAATCAGATCTCAACTCTCAAATCTGACTCTGAACTCTCTCAAATCAAACCTGTCAATGGCACGCCGTCCTCACCGAGCTCGACCTCACCACGCTCTGTTGAAGAAACTTGCAAAAGATATTGAATCCTTGAAGAAAGCCAACAATGACGTTGTCGAAGCTGTAGAACTGAGGAAACAGTGGAGGAAGAAGACTAGGACAACTAGATCATATGTTGTCTATTGGTAGAGGTCTTATTTATATGCTATGGGCCTTACCTAATTAGGTGGTCTACATTAAGGTGAACGTGGGAAACTAGTATTAAAGTGAATTTGGATCACTCAAGTTCAATCCAGACACATGTATTCTTGTACATGCATTTTATACACCAAAATCATGTGAGAATCACGTGCATTAAGTCAACAAGTTCATTTATGAAGAAGAGGTGTAAAATGACTGTGCATATTTATATGGTTAATGAAGTCACGCAACGAAGGCATGTGGCAAGAGCCCAAGTTTATCGAAGCTAGAAATCCATGAACCAATCAACAAATGCTTGGTGAAATAAGCCGAGCAATCAATCAAAGTTTCCATTGAAAACTACTAACCGAACCGAGCTTCTAGACCGAGCAAAGGATGCAGTTAGCATTAGCAACTCATTCACAATCTACTTAAAGATGATGACATATCAATCCCAAGGAATCATCGAAAAATTAATAAGAAAGCCGCCTTAACCAAAGGAACCTGTAGCCTAGAGAAACCGGAGGAAATGAGCCGGAAGAAATCAAGGCTCAAATGGGGAAGAATCCGGCTTAAACTTAAGTGTGCATAGGGGTAAAGTGTAATTTACTCCTAATGATGGTGATTAGATTAAGGATAAATTATATTTTATCTTCTTAAAATATTATACCCTAAAATATTAATTTTGTTTCATATCACTCCAATAGTTTTTCGTCATCTATTCGAGTGATATGAAATAAAAATTAATAATTTAGAGTATAATGTGAGAAATTTTATAATTGAGAGTATAAAATAAAATAAATATAATAGTTTAGGGGGGTAAAGTATAATTTACTCTAAGTTTTTTTTTTTGAAGAAAGTCGTGCGGATTGAAACGGTGCCGTATAAATTGGGCGGTAAAAGACGCGCCTCTTTTGAGGCCACCTTGCCTGACCCTTTGCAATATAAAAGGCAGAGCTTCTGGTTCAAAATTCAGAGCACACCTCTCAACTCTCAAATCAGATCTCAACTCTCAAATCTGACTTCTGAACTCTCTCAAATCAAACCTGTCAATGGCACGGTCCTCACCAAGCTCGTCCTCACCACGCTCTGTTGAAGAAACTTGCAAAAGATATTGAATCCTTGAAGAAAGCCAACAATGACGTTGTCGAAGCTGTAGAACTGAGGAAACAGTGGAGGAAGAAGACTAGGACAACTAGATCATATGTTGTCTATTGGTAGAGGTCTTATTTATATGCTATGGGCCTTACCTAATTAGGTGGTCTACATTAAGGTGAACGTGGGAAACTAGTATTAAAGTGAATTTGGATCACTCAAGTTCAATCCAGACACATGTATTCTTGTACATGCATTTTATACACCAAAATCATGTGAGAATCACGTGCATTAAGTCAACAAGTTCATTTCTGAAGAAGAGGTGTAAAATGACTGTGCATATTTATATGGTTAATGAAGTCACGCAACGAAGGCATGTGGCAAGAGCCCAAGTTTATCGAAGCTAGAAATCCATGAACCAATCAACAAATGCTTGGTGAAATAAGCCGAGCAATCAATCAAAGTTCCCATTGAAAACTACTAACCGAACCGAGCTTCTAGACCGAGCAAAGGATGCAGTTAGCAACTTGTTCACAATCTACTTAAAGATGATGACATATCAATCCCAAGGAATCATCGAAAAATTAATAAGAAAGCCGCCTTAACCAAAGGAACCTGTAGCCTAGAGAAACCGGAGGAAATGAGCCGGAAGAAATCAAGGCTCAAATGGGGAAGAATCCGGCTTAAACTTAAGTGTGCATAGGGGGTAAAGTGTAATTTACTCCTAATGATGGTGATTAGATTAAGGATAAATTATATTTTATCTTCTTAAAATATTATACCCTAAAATATTAATTTTGTTTCATATCACTCCAATAGTTTTTCGTCATCTATTCGAGTGATATGAAATAAAATTAATAATTTAGAGTATAATGTGAGAAATTTTATAATTGAGAGTATAAAATAAAATAAATATAATAGTTTAGGGGGGTAAAGTATAATTTACTCTAAGTTTTTTTTTTTTGAAGAAAGTCGTGCGGATTGAAACGGTGCCGTATAAATTGGGCGGTAAAAGACGCGCCTCTTTTGAGGCCACCTTGCCTGACCCTTTGCAATATAAAACCGGCAGAGCTTCTGGTTCAAAATTCAGAGCACACCTCTCAACTCTCAAATCAGATCTCAACTCTCAAATCTGACTTCTGAACTCTCTCAAATCAAACCTGTCAATGGCACGCCGTCCTCACCGAGCTCGACCTCACCACGCTCTGTTGAAGAAACTTGCAAAAGATATTGAATCCTTGAAGAAAGCCAACAATGACGTTGTCGAAGCTGTAGAACTGAGGAAACAGTGGAGGAAGAAGACTAGGACAACTAGATCATATGTTGTCTATTGGTAGAGGTCTTATTTATATGCTATGGGCCTTACCTAATTAGGTGGTCTACATTAAGGTGAACGTGGGAAACTAGTATTAAAGTGAATTTGGATCACTCAAGTTCAATCCAGACACATGTATTCTTGTACATGCATTTTATACACCAAAATCATGTGAGAATCACGTGCATTAAGTCAACAAGTTCATTTCTGAAGAAGAGGTGTAAAATGACTGTGCATATTTATATGGTTAATGAAGTCACGCAACGAAGGCATGTGGCAAGAGCCCAAGTTTATCGAAGCTAGAAATCCATGAACCAATCAACAAATGCTTGGTGAAATAAGCCGAGCAATCAATCAAAGTTCCCATTGAAAACTACTAACCGAACCGAGCTTCTAGACCGAGCAAAGGATGCAGTTAGCAACTTGTTCACAATCTACTTAAAGATGATGACATATCAATCCCAAGGAATCATCGAAAAATTAATAAGAAAGCCGCCTTAACCAAAGGAACCTGTAGCCTAGAGAAACCGGAGGAAATGAGCCGGAAGAAATCAAGGCTCAAATGGGGAAGAATCCGGCTTAAACTTAAGTGTGCATAGGGGGTAAAGTGTAATTTACTCCTAATGATGGTGATTAGATTAAGGATAAATTATATTTTATCTTCTTAAAATATTATACCCTAAAATATTAATTTTGTTTCATATCACTCCAATAGTTTTTCGTCATCTATTCGAGTGATATGAAATAAAATTAATAATTTAGAGTATAATGTGAGAAATTTTATAATTGAGAGTATAAAATAAAATAAATATAATAGTTTAGGGGGGTAAAGTATAATTTACTCTAAGTTTTTTTTTTTGAAGAAAGTCGTGCGGATTGAAACGGTGCCGTATAAATTGGGCGGTAAAAGACGCGCCTCTTTTGAGGCCACCTTGCCTGACCCTTTGCAATATAAAAGGCAGAGCTTCTGGTTCAAAATTCAGAGCACACCTCTCAACTCTCAAATCTGATCTCAACTCTCAAATCTGACTTCTGAACTCTCTCAAATCAAACCTGTCAAGGCACGCCGTCCTCACCGAGCTCGACCTCACCACGCTCTGTTGAAGAAACTTGCAAAAGATATTGAATCCTTGAAGAAAGCCAACAATGACGTTGTCGAAGCTGTAGAACTGAGGAAACAGTGGAGGAAGAAGACTAGGACAGCATTAAACGAACTCAATTCTCTAAACACTATAGATATTGAGAGTATTGAAGAATTCAAGTATGTGGCATTTGTCAAGAACAATTACGCAATGATTAGAGGAGATAAGAATAAAAAATTTAAGTGCAGCATAAGGATTCTTCCTAGTCAAGATTCTGAAGAAATTAAGAGAATGACGAACGAAGCAGGTATTAAGCACACTTAATTTCGTCCTCAACAGTGAATTTCCCATGGCTCACTTACTTTTGTGTCGCAACTGTGAATTTCCTTTGGCTTTGTTTCTTCTCTAGTGAATCTGAATCTATGCTGAATAAGTTTTGTTGAAGTGAATCTGAATCTATGCTGAATTTGAATAAGTTTTGTTGATTAAATTTAGTGCTGATCATGTAAATTCAATTATCCTTCTCTGTCATCCTTCCATGCATGTTTGCTCATAAGAAGTGAGAAAATGACTGGCAAGCCGGCAGTTGCTAACAATGGAGACAGTTTATGACACTTCTATTAAACACTAGTTTAGTAAACTCAATAAATTGTAAAATCAGGATGACGCTTACCTTTTTTGAACAGAGAACTAGATACAAGATATGTCAACATATCTGATTGTGGATCCTAAGTACATTTACCAAAACTTGCCAACTTATTTGTTAATTGATGGGTTTGGAAGAATGCATATCAGTAACAACGCTGATCACATTACTCATTGGCTAACTAAAGAGATCCAAACTGCAGTATAAAATTTCAATTCACCACTAATTATATTCAAATCCAATACCAAAACAAGTGCATTCACTCAACAATACATCAAACTAACGTTCACTCGGCTAAGTACAGCAACCCTGATTTCCATTACTCAAATCATTAATACATCTGTAACGCAAACCTCACGCGCTAATCCTGGTTCTGTCCTTGTGTAGAGAATGCCATTGCTCCATTTGCCACTTTCCATAAAAATGTTTTAACCTTCCGGATTGCTCGAACATTTCATATTAACTTCCACGGATCTTTTGGAACTTGATAGGAAGATGATGCCGTTGTGGTCCTCTGGGAATTTGTTCCATCTTGAATATGGGTATGATACCCACTCTTAACAGAGTAAAACCCACTCTTGGTGTGTGTCCATCTCAAAGTATCTTGTTGGGGTGTATGACTGAGAGGAATGGCAAGAATGATAGAAGCAATTTCTGGTGGGAAAGATTAGGACACTGAGGGTGAATTCCAGCTTCTTGAGTTGTGGAGTTGTGTGTTGGGTATGTTTTTCTAACTTCCAGATATCAACTTTGCTTCCCTCCTCTATTTTCCAAGAACATCCAACCTTCAAGTGGTCCCTTCCTTCTACAATCCCTTTTCATACCCAAGAGTCTGCAGCTTTGGTTTTTGCTTCCCAGAAATCATAACCTG